TCATAGAAGTAATTTACACTATATAGCTTTCATCTCTCCTTATGTTCTAATAATTAACTTTATTATTTAACAATAATAAAATTAAATAATAAAATTAAAGTAAAATAAGTAATAATTAATGATAAATAAGCGCATAATTATATTTCTAAAATAATTTCATATTTAAAGAATAATATATATGTATTAGTTTGACATCTAACTTTAACGAAAATGGCACTTCTCTCGTATTTAGGTGATTTATTATTTAACTTCTAATTTTAATTTTTTAATTAATTACAATACTACACACTCTACGATATTATTCATTTCTATAGTTCAGTAATTTAAGAAGTCCATATCTCTTAAACAAAGCATTTGTTAATAAATTTCCGAAAAAAGCTGTATCTTTTGAGATTCTAAATTCATAGTATAGTTTTAACGCTACAACATCCTGTATAACATACATATTCGATTATCTTTGCTATTTAATGAAATATTAAAGAATAAAAAATAAAAAGCTGATGTGATAAATGAAGGAACATGAAGCAAAATTTAAGTGCTGAGTAATGATAATAACAATAAACATCAATTCACACAAATACATAATTGTTTCGATTTTAGATTAAATCATCCTCACTTAAATCATAAAATTAAAATTATGTTAAAATATTCATTTTATCTATTAAAAAATATCAAAAAATTAAAAAAAAACGTAAATCTCTTTCAAATCACGTTCGCAATTAATATTTGGACCAAATGAAGTTTTTCTTATCTCGGATGTAATAACAATGATATTCAAAAAAATCAATGATTTTCGAATTTATTAATGTATGCTGCGCAAATGCTTTCGCTATATCATTATCTCATCTATATCAAAAAATAAAAAATCTATTTTTTTCTAATATCGATAACATTAATTCAAAACTATAATCTTGCGCTTTTAGGAATATTCGATTCAATTTAAATACTATATAAAAATAAGAAATATTATGATATTATATTGTTATATTATTTTCTTATTATTATGTTTTTGTATGTTATATTTGAATATTACATTTTTATATTATTATGGTTTCTCCTGAAATTAGAAGTCTCTTTTATTCTTACGATACATAATTAAAAATGTATAATATTTTAAAAAAATAAATATAAAATATTAAAACAAAACTGCACAGCATAAAACTGAACAGCATAAACTGAACAGCAAAAATTTAAAACAAATAATAAAAGGGACTACAAGCTTAGCTGGATTTTCATTACTTAACAATTCAATTTAATGTTTAAAATTCATAATAATACACAAAACATTTTCGACCCGTTATAGAGTCATTGATTTGTGATCCATTAGTATAAAAAAAACTTAACAATAGTATATATGCAAAAATAATTATAAATATTTTAAGTAATTTAAGATTCTTATCTTTCTTCATCAGTATACATATATAAAATATTTCATTTAATAGTCGTAATTACTAATAAATATAAATTAATTTATGATGCAAAAAGAATTATTTTAATAGGAAGTCATAATGTAATAAAAAGAGAAGATGCATCGAGGGGACTCTTATAAACTCCCCCATCTTTCTCGCGTGCATTCCAACGGCAAAAGAAGCATTGAAGCGAATGCGACGGGCAATCATGCAACTCGGGCATTGAACGCAAATTATTAATCCATAACATGAAGCATGAAAGATTATTATTACGAGCTTTAAATATATCACAATAATATATCGCGACAAAATATTTTCAGCCTTCTCTATAATATTTTATCTATCTTACTTAAATAACTTGCAATAATTGCTGCATTAAAAAATTAAAATCATATATGTTAATAAATAAAATAATAAAATAATAAATAAAATAATATATATTATATATTTTCAATATATAAAATATATTATTTTATTTACATAAAATATTATATTAATTTAGGTATAATAGTTATTTATAATATTAGTATTATAATAGTATAATAGTATATTTTCAATTTTTTCAATTTTATTCAATTAATTAACTGTAAACGAACATCTTGGAGCAGTAAAAAACTTGACAACAATGTATTGGGTTGTCCGGAAAATTCATGCCGATTTTGAAGGAAAATAAAAATGCAGAAGATTTAAATTTTTAATTTCATTTATTATATTTAAATCTTTTGCGGACTTTCCGGACGACCCAATATATAATCATCATTATATTATAAAGTAAATTTAGTAGAAACAGTTTCTATAAAGTATAAAATAAAATATAAGAATTATAAAATTATGCAAATATAAAATACATCTAATATATCTTTTTATCCAGGAAATGAAAGTAATTAATTACTTGTAATACCGTTACCTTATCATTATCCTGTTATAATAATGATTTAGCGGTGATGAATTTTTTTATGACTATAACGGTAACATCAGTGTTGGGAAATCTCAATCGTTATTTGTAACGAGTTAAAAAAGACATTTGTTATTGAAAAAATTAACTTGGAATTTGTAATTCGTTATTTTAGTCATTATTTGTAACTTGTATTTGTTACAAATTACTTTTTTCAGTAAGTAAATAAAGAAAATTACTTTTCAAAATAATTTTCCCAACCTTAACATAATCTTAGCGTTTAATTATATAGTTATCATTATATATAGTCATAAAAAATTGCATCGTCAAATTGTTATTATAAGAAGTAACGGAAAATGCAACGGAATAGTAACTCTTCCATTTCCTCTGTTTTTTTCTAATCTATTCTTCTTGAGCAGCATTAAAAAAATACTAGCGAAAATTTAAACACAAACATTCGCACCTACGTTATCTACTGAATAGAATATTTAAACTTTTTCCGCCCATATTTTCTCACATTTATTTATACTCACAAAATATCTCTAGGTAACGTTTTGTAGAGCACGTAAATGAAGTGCCGGCGACTTCCGGTAAGGAGAAAGCCGCCAAGCAGCAGGCTCATGATGATAATAATCAGGTGAAAATCTGTCGTAATCATTTTCCGTATGTTTACTCGTCCTAGAACTTGGGGAAATTAATCGGACGTGCAACCTAGAAATGGCGCCAGCAGCCACCGGTCAATCGCGCATTAGTTACAAATACCGGTTCCAAGTATATTATAAACCAGTTAAGTACTGATAAACGCGAACGCCGTGGTATGACTGAAACGGAATTGAAGGACGACTCCGATATATATATAAACACTATCCGTGTATCCCCCCAACCATGTGGATAGACTTGCACGTAGTAGTCATCGCGACTCATGAGCTATCCTACAGAGCTATTCCGGAGCAGTGGGAGTGATAAAGCTGATATTACACGTTGCGATGGATAACACATGCGCAAAAGCTTTTACGAAAGCCACTCTCATCAGCTTCTAAAGGCGGGTGCTCCGAAAACATAAAATTGCAACAGGTTCGATTTAACAATACTATCGCGTATCCTGAATTTTCCTCAAATAAGTCTAAAATGTTCTTAATCACATTTTAATAACATAATTACTATTATCGTATCATATACAAGATCAAAATAAAGTGATTTTATTTTCTTAGCATGATTTAAGAGAAAGAAGTAGAAATTTCATGTGTTCATACATTTCGTTTTATTTTATTCTTAAAAGTCTGTCTATACAGAAACAGAAATAATTTTGCTATAATTAAATTGGATGTAATTAAAAATTTAGTTAGATACAGATTTAAAAATAATTTTGTTAGACTATCAAAATAATTAAGCAGAATGCTCTACTTGCTAGAATGTTAAAAGTTTTTGCAATATGGCGCGTCATGCTCAAATTTTTTACATGATTATTTTGATAATACAACACAATTATTTTCAGATTTATCTAAATTTATCAAAATTTCTAAATACTTCAGCAAAATTGTTTTTTACATGTAGACATGATAAGAAAACAATTAATAATAATTGATTTAATAAAGCAACGAAAATATTTTGTTTTTTTGTACCCAATATAAATCTTAATTTGATACAATCAGTAATCTTCGATAAAATATAATTAATTAAAACGTGCTTATCATATTATTGATATAATAATGTGAAAAAATGCTCACTGCGATTCGTTGATGTAAACAGCGATGACAAACTGGTCAAACTGGTTATTTTGAACAGACCACAGATAGTCTCACACGCCTATCGCAATTTGTAGGTCGCATATATAAAGCTTGTCACGTATAAAATTGCTCTATAACATGATCGCTTTTCATTGCGAAATTGTAAGCTTTTAATGAATTCCAATGAAGTACACAATATATTGTCTATAACATGTGATATATTCTTTCCTGTTTATATTTCTTCAACATGATTTGATTTTTATTCGATATCCTATTTTAATATAAAAAAAATTGGTTAATAACATTAATTTAATTTTACATTTGAATAAAAATATTTATCTTTTCAAAAAAGAGAAATATGTATAAGATTCAAAAGGAATAATTTATTTATTTAAAAGTAAAATTAAATTTAATATTTGATAATCACTTTTTACACTAAAATAGGATATTGAATAAATATAGAAATAAACAAGGACAATTCTCTTTTGAAAATAAATTCCTAACTTATTGATGCCAAAAGAATAATATAAGAATAACATAAGTAAAATATAAAAAATAACTATGTGTGATGCTATAATATATATATATATATACTCAGGAATAAGAAGTTACTTTTATCGTTACATATACTTCTTAAAACAACGATTTAATAATGACGTTGGAGTTTTTTTTTGACGATAATTAACTAAAAGCTAAGGCTGGAAATATCACTTTTAAAAAGTGACTTGTCATTATTACGCATTATTTATTGAAAAAAGTAATTCATTATATATACTTGTGTTGCGTCGATTCGTTGCTTTTAAAAATAACCAAATCATTGTTTTAAAAATGGTAAAAGTAACTTCTCATCTTCACACGTACTGAAAGGAATATGAATTTTGAAATTGCTTTACTTTAACTGATAAAAAGTAATAAATAGAAGATAGTACAAATACGTGTATTACATTTACATCGTTGCATTTACCCGAGAGAAATAGAGAGAGATTATATTTTTTATATAAAAACACAAGTCGCATATATATAAACTGATATCAATTATCAATGCATATTATATATAAAATGCATATATAGCACTGAAATAAAATAACATGCAACCTCAAGACGTATGATACACAGTATCGTCATTGTATACAGTATACTTAAAATATATTTAAAATATACATATTTATTTCTTGATAATATAGGAAGATTATTCTGATTTATATGCTTGTATCATTTTACATTCTTCACTACAGTTTTGATATTGATATCAGATTATATGTTTAATTCATTATAATATGAAAAATATACGTAAAATCATATATTGACAATAAAAACTTTTTTTTATAAAGCTTATAATATGTTAAACAAAAGAAAAAACAAATAAAATAGAAGAAATAACTTTTTATTATCTAATAAAAACAGAGAAATATAAATATAATTTAGTTCAAAATTGCTGACATAAAACATAAAATTGATCAACATAACGTCATCTTAATTTCATTTGTTCGCGTAAAATAAACATAGACAGTAGTGCAAACAGTAGTACAAATTTTTATGGTAAAATGTACAAAAACAACACACGTGTTTACATAAATAATAGAAGAGATATATTTATACAGAAAAACTTATATAATTACAATACTTATATAATTGATTTAAGGGAAGAAAATCTTAATGTACAACATGTACAATATATTGGTGATTTCTCAGTCAGACGAATCTCACAATGATAGATCCTGAAAAGAAAAAAATATTAATATTTATGTATCATGTTATTAACACTAGTTATGTATTGTAATAAAAACAGTAATTGAAATATGATAAAAAGAAGCGAATAGAATCGACAATTTAAATAAATGCAACTAAAAAAAAGTTGCAAAATGCAAAGAATGCGCAATGTAATATTTTTATGATTATTAAACAGATGATTATAGTAATTTATATGATGATTAGAGTGATTTTGTTTTATGCAAACGTTACTGAACAAAATTCAAGGACAATGTAAAAGATTATATACCTTAATTGTACGCAAACATTACTGTGCAAAGTTCAGGGACAATGTAAAAGATTATATACCTTAATTTGAATGATCGAAGTTCGAAACATTACACTCGTTATCTGAGAACCAGGTAAAGTACCATGATGTCCAAAACTGAAAACGATACGCGCTAATCAAACTAGATAGCATACTTCAAAAATTGACTGATTTAAAATAATTTAACATTGTTGTTGATGTTTTAAATCCTTGATTTAAATAAATAATTAAATATAAGAGTTGTGTAAAATATATGTAGAAAAATATAATAATATTGAATAAAAAATAAATAGAACGGGATAGAACATAGAACAGAAATATATTTTTTTAACTAATAATTGTTAACTGTAATGAAAATTCGTATTTCAAAATTAAGTAAAAGAATTGATTTCAAAAATATAAATTTGGCTTTATATGTGAAGAACAAACATCTTATAAATTGTTTTTAATCTACAGTCTATTTTATAAAAATTTTTTAACTTTCCGAGCCACAAATTAGTTATTTTAATTAATAGAAAAAAGACGCCGATAATGATATAAAAATCCTCAAAAAAAAAATTGCGCGTTATATGTTTGCGGCATAGAACAGCATAAAATATATAAATCAACAAAAACTATTTCATCGAAATGAAAAAATTTTATAAAATCTTATGTACATTCACTTGTAAATATTTTGTACAGATAACTTGTGTGAAGAAAAAGAATAAGAATATATGGCATTATTGCGTACTGCGTCAGTTTTGAGACTCATTTTACCAAACTTATTTTTGCTTGTGGGAAGTTAATTAAAATTATAAAATTGCAAACAATATTATAAAAAAAACTGCTATATTATTTGATAGAAGTTTATATTTATGTTTCTGAAGTTTTAACTTTTATTTAAGAAATATTGTCCAAAAAGAAAGTGGTTGACTTTTGTCTTATCATTAATATTCATGTTATGTTATGATATTTTACAAAGAAATAAAATTTAAGAGGCAAAACATAAACAAACAGAACCATATCAATTAGTACAAAAAGCTTTTAAAAAGTCTGAGAAGAGATAAGATATATGACATTATACAGCTTGTTTAATTTTTTTATCGTGCTGTTATTGATTATACGCAGTACTATTTCTTACCAACAATGAAAAGTACGATCGTCACAGTAATGCTGATAATGATGATCCTCGATTTCACATTCTGGAGCCATGCTCTCCGTTGTGCTCTCTTCGCAGCTTCTCTAAATTCGTTTCCGGCCATATTGAGACGATCGCTCGCTTGCTGTAAATCCTCCAGTCTCTCGCCGCGATCTATTACTTTTTGAACATTATCCCGCATCACGTCCGCCACCTCCTGTATTTGCAGCTTGACGCTTCAAATACAGACAATTAAATCGATATCAATTGCTTGCACCATAATTTCGTCTGTATTAATTTGCATATATAATATCGTATCAATTATACAAATATAAATTAATTATGAATATAAAGATCAATTCAAGACTAATTCAAGATTGAAAAGCATTTGTGATTACCTTCTTTTTTTTTAAGTATTTTTAACAATCTACATTTTTTCCTTATACTCTCAAAAGATTCTTCTAAAACTAATTTCTATTTTATTAAAAAATAATTACTTATTATAATTCAACAAAACTTATTGTATAATTTATTATCATAAATTTATTTACGCTTTATGATTGTATTGGTCATAAATTGAATTTTATAATTTATTTGTCGACAAGCCAATTATTATTCTACTTAATTAATTTTGTTCATTTATTCCTATAATTCAACAAAATCAAAATTGTATTTTAACTGTGAATATGATAAAAAGTATGATAATAACAGTATGATAAAGTATAAGTATAATAAAAGTATGATAAAAAGTATGATAATAGTTATATAATATATATTATATATTTTATGTGTGTGTGCGTGCATGCGTGCGTGTGCGTGTGCGTGCGCGCGCGCGCGCGCGCGCGTGTGTGTGTGTGTGTGTATGTGCGCAAGAATAATACATAAATAAAATAAATGATTAAAAATTACACAGTAAAAAATTACACAGAAGTAATAACCGCATGAAAAATAAGAAAGTTTCAGTTAGAATACGTTCCAGTCGTATTACCAACTAAAAGTAACATAATATTAATATTAAAATTCAGCAGCAATGTAACTGTTATGTAACGTCATGTGTTATATTATATTTATATTAAGCAAATTATAATGATAATTGCTTCTTCAAACTATGTCAAAATAAATAAACATTGAAAAAGACATATAGGCCAAATCACAGAATGTTATTGCACGATATCTATTTATCAATATTTAAACTATATAGATGTTATTCGACTGTTATCTACAAATCCTTAAAATTAAAAAACATCATACTCACGTATCCATTTTATTATCAATGTTTTCATTTCCACTTGATGTACTGGGTCGGCTGTAATTACATATTCCATATTAATATATTTGTATTAATTAAGGCAATTTTCGGAAAAATATAGCAAGAGCAAAATAAATAAAAGTAAATACTTATATAAATCGATCATTTACATTGAAATGTAAAACTAGTTTATACCAAATGTTAACATAAGATATAACTATATTTTATTATTCCAGTATTTTTTTGACAAAAACAGCAATTATATTTTTATAGAAATTTTTGTAAGTAATTACAGTTTATTATAAAAATAATTTTCTTACGTGAACAACATCTCCTCATCAAGATCACTGTCATGCTCCAATAACGATTCCTGCAAAAGAACAGTTTAAACATATGTCAAGTTTCCCGCCAAGCGTGACATCACTTCCGAATACTGCGTGTTCTTTGATATACATGCACCAATGCGACAATAAGAGATACTTACTTTCTCATCTTTGTCCGCGGTTTTGATGTCCTCTTTGGATAAACTGCGTTTACTGGATGACAACATATTCTCAGGAAAATAGGCCCGCGTTTCACGCGCAGGCTTTAAATAATTGATTCGCACACTTAAATGATTTGTTGCAACGATTAGAATTTAACCTTCCACGAACACTCGGCCATTTTGACAGAAGCTATTCTGCTTTACCGGCCTCGTGGTAGCCGTAAGGTGAGATGCAAACCGCAGATCAATAGAATAGATGGCACCATAAGCGATATACAATAATATAATAAAATTGTTTTTTGTTTCGGGGATGTTGAAACTGTCTATATTACCGATAAAATTAGCGTTTTTAACATTTTTGTTCCTGTCCAATTTTTTCACAGTTTCTGCGTTGGTCGCCATACTGAGGTAAAAATGGATAAAGAAATCTATAATTTTTTTTCCAACTTTGAACATCAGCGCCAAGTACATTAACATGTATATTTTAATCGTAGAAAAGGAATTTTTATTCTGTGAAATTATTACGAAAAAATTGGACAGGAACAAAAACATTAAAAACGCTAACTTTATCGGTAATACGGTAAGGCGGCGTTGAATTTGATCGATGTCGATAGTAGATTTTTTTAATTCCAAATAAAGAAAGTCGATAATAGTGACATCTTTAATTCATTTCTTACATTATTATTCTGTCTCACACAACATATACATTCTTGTAAGATCGAGCATCTACTGCTTATAATCTACTGCTTATAATCTAGAGTACACAATTACTGCTTTATTTACCATTCTGAATTTTGACTTTTCGCTCAGCATTCGTATACACGTAATTTGCAGATCAATATAAATTTTTTAAGCTTTTAATCTTAAAATTATAAATTCAGTATTGTTCGTTCACGTAATCCGAAGAGTAATGGCACTATCGCTTTGTCCATACGAGCTATAAAACTTTTGTATTAAGGAAATATCTACGTCAGATGAAAACTCTACGAGTTGAAAAATAAATAAATTTTTAACTATTTTCAATTTTAGTATAAAATCCATTACAGCACCTCCTAATTTTATATATACTTCAATCCTGTAAAAGAATTTTTGATTCCGTTCAGTAAATTCGGAAATTTTTTTTTATCTGTCGACATTTGTTGACAATGTGTCGACAATTTGATTACTCCATCCAGTATCCCCTTAAGAAGATATAATTGTCTACAGCGCCATTCTCATTAGTCCTTTTTCCTTTCTTTTTTATTGATATTTTATATTAATTAAGTCTTACATTATCAGCTACATTTATTTGCAGCTTGAATATTTTACTTGCAGAGGTACTCAAAAAACAAATAAATTGTCTAACATGACAACAGCTACATCGAATTAAAATTGTCTCCTATCATTTTAACTTATTTCTAATTTTTTTTTAACTGTTGATTTTATAATCAAGAAAGAAACATTTTGAAAAATAAATGTTGTTTAATGTTTTATTTTTTTATAGAAAATGCTCGTATACATAAGTAATTAAACATTCGTATACATTCCTTTCATACACACAGTAAATTTTATGAGTTTAGTTTCACTAAAAAAATAAATACTACCAATCTATCATCCAAACGTACAAATAAATAATTGTTATAAACAAAAAGATCGATTTCTCTCGCGCTGTCTAACTTACCAATATCATATGAGTATGTACATAAAATTAATAGTATCAGAAGCTACTAAATGACGAATGCAATAAATTCAATAAGATAGATGCACAATAATCCTGTTTTGGAGAAATATTTTACGCACATGGAAGAACCTAGACAACAAAAAATATCTAAAATCAGGTCATAAGACATTTTTTGCATCTAAAAGATGACTTAAAGATTATCTTATGTCATAATTTTAGAGTTTATGTTGTTTAAGAATTATCTGATAATATATCACATTAATTATCTCGACTGACTTTATTAATCAATCGCTGAAGACAATAGTCCTTTACAAAAGGACTATTGAGGAGCAATTACTGTACAGTCCGCAACAAGTTTAATAAATATAGTTTAATAAATTTATATAGAAATGTTCAACACGCGATACACTTCCAAGTAAGTATCACCATTCAATGATACTTATTGATCATTTAATAGGTCTGACAGATAACAAACATATCTTATTTGATAATAATGCATTTCCAATAATTCAATATAAAGAATGAAAATATATAACTTATAGAAGCAATACTCCCACGAAAGCCAACGTAAACACGCGTGATACACTAAATCGGCTATAGCTTTATCGTTCAATTATCTTTTTCTTGATTTTGATTTGAGTTTTTTATACATTGTAAATTTATTGTATTGCACACTTTTATCTTCAGACGAGTTTTCTCTCATTTATACTAGTTAATGTTTTTTTACTCTTTCTTACTCTTTTTCTATCTATGCCTTTACAATTTTCTTTGAGTCATCATCAGCATTGCACTTCATAATATATAGTCTGATAATATATAGTCTGATCTTGAAGATTGATAATTTTCACGTTATTATGACGTATAGAATGACGTATTTATATCGTTTTACATTATTACACATTATGCAACAATATCAGTTTTCCGTAATTCTCTAGCGTCATTTCGAAGAATTTTTTTTTAGCTACACAACGTCATTACGTAATAATATAGAATATATTATACTCTGAATAGTGATTCATGTTTTTAGCAATTTATAGAAACTAAGGTAAGGTTTCTTACACGTGAGGACTATTACTAATGAATGACTCAAATGCTTACAATTAGAAATTCTATTTTTCGCATGCAGATAAAATTTAATAAATATGTTCAACGGCGCCGACTTAAAAAAAAAAGCGTTGAAGAAGAAGCAAGGAGAAAAGCATTTCAAACAATGACCTTTTTTTTAATAATCTTTTTTTAATAGTTTTTACATTACGGAGATGATTAGAAGTGTACAGAAATATGTAGATTATATACTTTTACATGTAAAACGAAGTGTACTTTCTTTTCGATTACAGCAAGCGACGCGCTGTGCTAGCTTTAATTTAGCACGTCAAAGTATCGTCTATACCTTGATTTGTAACTTTTGACAAATTCAGTATCATTATAACGATACTAAACATTAAGATTAAATTACAAAATCAGATATTGGTCAACGCTTTTTCAGTTTTAATCACAGAAATTATTTATTGTTAAAAAATCTTTTATTAAGAAACAAAAAAGTAAAAATTATTGGGGGAGCGAAAAGCACCTGCCTCTTAATTAAAATCGGCGTCTTTCATATTCATATTCTAAAAATTACATGAAAATCTATCAGAATTTTTCTCAGAAAGTACAAAACATACATCTCATTTATCTTTTATCAGAGAGCAAATTGATCCCTTCTTAAAATTATAGTATAAAAATATTTTCTTTGGATATTATTTATGTACTCATCAAAAGTATTTTTTCCAATGAGCAACCATTAAAATAATATTACAATATATTTGTCTGCTCTTCAGTATCCTAATAAAGTGCGATTATCCTCTATATTCTCAGCTTCTCATACACACACATTTATTCCCTATGATAAAGATCATAAAGAATAAGAGGCTCCCATCATTAAACCATCATAAGGGATATGGCACGCACCCCGATGACGTTCACAGTGGGGTGCTGATCCAACCACCCACCCATCTCGACATCTGTCAGCGCCGGTCTAGCGATCGGTCAGAACACGCGGTACTAACGTCGCAAGAGGACTCACAGTCGACATTGTCGACAAACGTCGCGACGTCGGACCGGTTGCGTTCAGTAGTATTCCCCACCTTAGATTACGTCGATCATCCGAGTTCGATCTTGCTTGATGAAAGTGAAATCTCGACGCATTTTCCAATGCCATCGTTGAGGACTTTTCGCATCGAGTTCGACCGACCGGGCGCTACTTACGCACCTGGTGAAATCGTTACTGGCGACGTCATCGTTGACCTGGCCAGAGAGAAGACAATCCGAGGTAAATAAATGTCCAGTACGAGACTGGCAGGCGCGGCACGAGCGCACGAGGCTTGCAATATCGAGCGATATCACGCCTCTTAATGCCATCATGCCATCGGCGCCGCACCGACAAGAGCGTCGGGTGCCAGCGAGCGTATTCGACAGCGTATATGCACGCGTGGGTGTATATGTGTGCGTAAAAACGCGTGCAGTGCAAAACCAGGACCGTACGTGAAGAATGGAGTACTTACAAGTTCTTGGAGAAATACATCATTTAATAATCGTGATAAATGAAGATTTGAATATTATAGATTCTAAATAGAAAAAAATAGAAGAAATCGACGAGTTCAATCGAAGAATTCTTCGAATACGAATATTAATTAGCGTTTTAAGAAAAACGGATTTAAGAACTTCAAAATCTTGTAAGTTGATAAAAAAGAAAAAAAGGATAGAAATAAATGAATAATTATTCTAAACAAGAAGTACTAATTGCAATGCAATGAAAATTGTTAAATGTAGAAATTCTTGTTACATTATAATGAGATGCATTTATAGCAATCAAATATAATTAATTAAATGTATTACATACATTCGCATAGAAATAGTTTCTATGTCGATATTATCCACGATATTATCTATTATCTATGATGTACACCGTTGATATTTTTTATTCTTATAACAAAAGAAGTGATGATTTTTTTTCGTTGGTTATTCAAATACTACTTGTCTGTATTTTTTTCTTATGGGGTTCTGTCACTGCGCGACAGAATGTAATGAAGCCACCATAACGTCATTATCAAACATTCAACATGACATTCGGCATCAAATGTTGAGACCACATAGACGAAATATAACATGAACGCTCATATTTTCTAGTTTCTGTGCTTCAATATTAAAACAACAACAATAAAATCTCTCTTCTGCAGACGCTCAATCATTATTTATTTATGAAAGAAATAGATTAATTAAATAAAACCTTATTTAATGCTAATCACGAACGAAAGAAATGTCAATTGGATACGCAGTCTAGTTATATCGCTTCGTATTATCAGAAACGATATCCTAACAATAAGCAAATAAAAACGCACTGAAATTATCTCGCTCTCATGTGCGTTTTATAAACGAAGTTATAATTATCAAAACGCATCGTACATTACTTGATGAATAATGTTGGAATATATATCAGAATATACAGGATGTTAAAAGAAGTTTTTGTAAATTTTTG